ATGGAGAAAATAAGAGAACAAAAACTTAAAATAGAGTTAAAGTCATTTGAAAACCACCATGTTTGTAAGTTTGTATTTCATGTTATACTCAGAATGCAAAAAAAAAAGTCTCCTTTGTCTAGGGTTAGTCTTGTTGATTGATTGACTTAGTAGGCTTCTAAGTCGCTGTTCTTTAATGAAGCAACAGGAAACTACAGTAAACAAACTTCAAAGCCCCAAGTTCTGTGCTTGGATGAGGAGCCAGCATTTCTCATTAGACTGCTGACCTAAAGTGACAAGCTTTCTGTTCTCTAAAGAGTTTCACATCATTTTTCGTCCCTTATAAGCTCAAATGATCATACATTGCAAAATTCCATGGCAGAACCAGCTCCAGTTTTAGAGTAGCTCTTGTTTGTAAAATACAAATTCATCTTGTTTGCTTTGGGAGACTTTAGGAAGTAAAAGGAACATCCACAGTGAAGTGTCTTGTTTGGTGAAAAGTTTATCACTGTGTCTAGGACACCAGGCCGGAGGTCAAAGTCCTGCACGCATCACACTGTGTTTGTGACCTTGGACAGGACTCACCCTGCAGAGTCCATTTCTCTGTCTCCACAGGAAGAACGTAATAGTGCAACCCTGTATTGTCAGTAAGACTGTATGAGCATAGTTGGCATTTTAAACTTTTTGTTATATAAATAACAGTAATAATACATCCACCACATGCTCAATATCACATTTCCATGGGGGGCTGGCTAATGGCAGCATAATACGTACCACCTGGTAATCCCCACGAAAATACCTGCCGTCAGAATTGCTATTTCCCTGTTTCACATAACGCCCACGCATTCAAATATCAACTCAGCACTGACCATGGACCCAGTGCTGGTTTTGCTGCTGATAATACGGCAGTTAGACAGAGAAAGCCTTGCTTTCACAGAGCTAGGATTCTACATTCTATACTTCAACACAAACAGAGCTGATCAAACAGTAACAGTAGATGTGATAAGTCCTGAGGGCAACTGTAGCCAAAGACCTTCCTAAGGAGGTGGCAATTAAGCTAAGACCTGAATGACAAAAAAGAGTTTCTGAAGGATCGGAAAGAACATGCCAGAGGCCCTGAAGTGCAAGCAGCACTGTGTTTCTGTTGAGCAGAAAGGCAGTTCAAGTGCTGGGATATCAGAGGGAAAGGAAGGGGCAGGGGCTGGTGTGGTCTGGGAGGGAGCCAGAGGCCAGGTACGTGCAGCCTGCAGGCCAAGGCTGGAAGTCCAGACTGTATAAGGTGAAAGAAGCCTATGGCGAATGCTCTGCAAAGCCCTAACAAAACAATCATGTTTTTAAAACTCCCTTTGGCTGTTCTGAGGATGTTGGCAGAGTGCTTTGAAAATGATGACTCTTGCCGATGAAAATGAAAATAAAAAGACCAACGAGGAGCCCTGGAGGAGCCCTGGCAAGAGACAGAAGCAGCCTGGAGGAGGAGGGTGGGCAGGAGTGGAGAAAAGTGTCCAGGTGCAAGATGTGGCTGGGAGGTACAACTGCATGTTGGGGGGCGGGGTGGCAGGGGGAGGAGGTGAGAAAGAGAGGCTTTAAGGGTGTGATGGGTTCAGGACAAGATATACCAAAATCCGAAACTGTGGCACATTCAACATCAAAAGCTGGAGGAACAGAAACAAAAATAGCAGGAGCAAGAAAGCCACGCTGATTTCCTCCTTGGCCTTCTTCCCTGAAACAGGTCATACAGCGCCCTTGAGAAAGGGCCCACGAGGAGAGAAGACTGAGATGCTGAGGAGGTTAAAGGAAACTTGATCAACTCCCAGTTCCTCCTTTCCATGCTACCTGTTACCCAAATTCTGTCTTGTCAAGTCTTCACAAAATTGTTTCTTTGTCTAAAGGAGTATGAGCTGCCTGTTCTCATCTCTGCTGCAAGCTTTCATTCTCTTGTGTACATGTAAACATTCAATTAATACTGCATGCTTTTCTCTGTTAATCTTTGTCAGGTTGATTTTTAGAGCAAGCTGGGGACCTAAAAATGCCAAGAACATTTTCCTCCCCCACACATGGCTGCTGAGGCTCTGACCTGAGCACCTGGATGGTAGATGGGACACTGTGAGCGGTGAAACAGTTCACAAGGGGTAGCCCCAAATGTCCTCATAGAACCAAGTCTTCTAGTTTGGATTCACAAAAGCTCAACACCATGTCCAAGGTCACATCGGTAACAGGTACAGAGCTGGGAGTCACTCCCAGGACTGCTGGGCCATACAGCTTATTTTTAAACTGTAACAAGTTAAAACAGGCATGGTGACAGCTTTTCTTGAGTAAAGCAGACAGTTTCCCTGGCCCCCACTGGCTCACCAACCTGCTCAACATGGTCCCTCTGCATCTCCAGCACCGCCAAGTTGTTGTAGGCCTCGGCGTGGCTGTTGTTGTTCACCAGAGCCAGCCTGAAGCACTGATAGGCCAAAACCGTGTCCCCTATTCCCTGCAAAAGAAGGCACATGCTCACGCACACAAGTGCATACGCTCCCTCGTCCTTTCTTTTTACATATACATCCTTCCTGCTGGCACATAGAAAGGAATCAGCACAGAGAGAGGAATGAGTCCATTCAGAGGAGTCAAGTATGAAGGCCAAAGGCCTTATTTCAGAAGATAAAATGGGTTAAGGTGACTCCTAGAAATCTCTAAATTGCTATATAAAAACACTAACCAGGCCCTCCCTGGTGGCGCAGCAGGTTAAAGCACAGCACTGAGAAGCTGAAGTCACTTCATCATGAGTTTGATCCCCTCCCCGGAAGTGACCACATGGCACGGCAGACCTCTCCTGACCCGCCTGCTGCTCCCCTCGTCAATATGCCTGTTCTGTTCCCTACTCTGTCTCTGGTGAATCCTCTCACCCACCACACCTATGGCCTGTACCCCAGTTCTGTATGCATAAATAAACAAATCTTTAAAAAAAAAAACAAACAGGCCCTCCCTGATGGCGCAGCGGGTTAAAGCACAGCACTGAGAATCTAAAGCCGCTTCTGCATGAGTTCGATTCCCGCCTGCCCCGGAGGTGACCACATGGCGCGGCAGACCTCTCCTGACACGCCCGCTGCTCCCCTCAGCAGTGTACTTCGTCGATCTGCCTGTTCTGTTCCCCACTCTGTCTCTGGTGAAGCCTCTCACCGCCCCTGAGCCTCTGGCCTGTACCCCAGTTCTGTATGCACAAATAAATAAATCTTTAAAAAAAAAAAAAAAAAACAAACAAAAAACACTAACCAGGCCCTCCATGGTAGCGCAATGGGTTGGGACACAGCACTGCAAGCTGGCCACAGCTACTTCAGTGCAAGTTCGATCCCTGGCCCCAGGAGGTGACCCACAGGGTGCAGCAGACCTCTCCTGACCCGCCCACTGCTCCCCTCAGCAGTGGACTTCGCTGATTTGCCTGTTCTGCTCCCCTCTCTGCCTCTCTCTGGTGAATACTCTTACTGCCCCACATCACTGGTCTGTACCCCAATTCGGTATGCATAAATAAATAAATCTTAAAAAATGAAAAACAAAAAACATTAACCAAACCTGCAGTCACAATACCTGACACCACCTTCATATAAAGCTCAAGATTTTCTTCACACTCACTATATCGTGCGACCTCTTTTACAATCAAAATTAAATTTGGGAAAAAACATACCACGGATACATGTCCCAAGTTGTACCAGACATCAGCTGCCTCTTCTTCGTTTTTGGCCAGAGAAAGGGCACGTTCAAACGAGGGCAGAGTCATATCACACTGCTGGGCATAGAAGCAACAGAGCCCCAGATTGTTAAAAAGCTGGCAGTTATAAACACCCATCTGCAGGAGTCGCCTTTTTGAAAAAGAGCACACAAATTCTGGTGTCAGACCAACTTTATAAACATTAAGACATTTTATATATGTATATGTATTAACCACTAGGAATAAACTCATTTTATAATTTTAACACTCCCCAAGACTAGAAAGTAACGTTAGAAAAACATTTTTAAGCGAATGCAAAGGCATGTTCTCTGATGGCACTAGTCATGGGAAAAGTGTCCAGAGGCAAGGTCAGAAACCAGTTACGTAAGTTCTTTCCACAAAGGCTTTGCTAGAAAACCAAAACAAGTGGTCACATGCAGTAAAGCCCATACATTTTTGCTTCCTAAAGCTTTGGTGACCATAGGCAAATTCCTAACCCACCCTGACTGAAAGACTGTTTATTCACGAATCACCTCCAAGCCTTCAGCTGATTTGGACCCCAGTTTTTGGTGACCTGTATTGTGTGGCTCAGCTGTGTTCACCAACCTCCCATAAGCTTCTACCGAGGAAGGCCGGCCCACCGGTAGATCACCATGTCGCCCACTTAGCTTAAAGGCTGCAGCCCAAGAACCCCATTTTTTCTTCTAGGCATCCTTCACTCCAAAGGGCCACGGACAAGCGAGTTCAATAAGCCAGTGAAAATGCAGCCCAGATGGACTGAGGACCCAGGGCCCTCTGGGGTGGGGGGGGCAGAATCAGCTGTACATGCACAGGACACGGGTCATGCTTTGTATTTTATGCTCTAGCATCTGTTTGGAAAGAACTCTTGTTGGTCACCAGTTATCTCTTTCCTTGGGATTGGAGGAACTCATAATTTAAAAATTAAATCTGAAACCTAAGTGTTATTAAATAAGCATGTGCTCAAAAGAGAACCAGTGCACCAAATTTATTTCGACTTTGAAAACATATTTGGGCAAGAGTTGACAATACTTCACCAAACAACCGTGATTGCTTTAGGTCCTCATCAGAATCTGGGACACACTGCTCTTTGCAAACCTGGACACTATGTCCGTTTCACGGTCTTCAATTCTGTTTGGTGGTCTTAATGGAGGCAGTGATGATAAGAAGAATTTCCAGTAACCCACTATTAATGGTTGATGACAAAGTGACTAACTGAAAAAGTGATATGGTGTTTAAAACTCAACTCTCCAGGTGTTTCTGCCAGAGTTCTAAATTACCGGTGTCACTTTAACACCAATAAAAATTCAAGGTATTTTCAGTGATAGTCTCACACAGACATGGCCTATCCTTTATTTCTCGACTTTCTTATCCCATCTCTATTATTGCTCCAGCAATTTTCACAGGAAAGCAATTCTCCAAGTTGAAGGCGAAGCGCACCTGTAAAACCGGAGCGCGATTTCTGGCTGGTCCGAATAAAAGTGGTTGTTTGCGATGCATGCAATGGCTTCCACGTGAGTACTGTCTTGCTTCAACACTTCTTTGTAGTATTCGGCTGCTGACGAAATATTGTTCATTTCCTATTCCCCGGCAAGACAAAAGGACAAGCCTTGATTAATAGTGCCACGAAGTGATTTTTCATTCATTTTAACAATTATGGAGAGAGTATGATGCTCTAGATTCTGTGCTAGGCACTGGAAACACAATACAAACAAAAACATAAAATTACAGTATCAAGGAGGGGCCTTCAGGTAGGAAAGATAAACAGGTGAGCAGGTAGGAGACACGCTGTCAGCCTGGTGGGGTCGCTCACAGGAAGAGGGACAGGGCAGGGTGAGGAGAGGGAGCACCGAGGGGCTGCGTCAGCCAGGGTCCCCAAGGAGTCATGGAGGCGAGTTACGGGGGCCACAGCCTGAATGAATCGAGACACAGACCTGCCCACACTGGGCAGGGGAACAGCAATTGTGGGAGTGTGAGGTGGGAACCCCCTGGTCTCGTGCAAAGAGCCACACAAAGGGGTGTGAGGTTGCATAGCAGGTGAGCGGTGCAGAAGGCATGGGGGCACCTGGCGGCATGGTAGGAACTTCAGGGTTATTTTCCAGGTTGAGGGAGAGCCGTGAGAGTTAGAAACAGAGGGGTACATGACTTGTGTTTACTTTTTTTTTTTTTTTTTAAGATTTCGTTTATTTATGCACACAGAGCAGGGATACAGGCCTGAGGTGTGGGGGTGAAAGGACTCACCAGAGACAGAGCGGGGAGCAGAACAGGCAGACTAATGAAGTACACTGCTGAGGGGAGCAGCGGACGCGTCAGGAGAGGTCTGCCCGCCACATGGGTCACCTCCCTGGCCTAGGATCAAACTCGTACTGCAGTGGCTGTGGATAGCTCCATAGTATGTTGCTTTAATCCATGGCGCCACCAGGGAGGGCCCCTGTGTTTGCATTTTTTTTTTTTTTAGAGATTTATTCACCTTTGCATACAGAACTGGGATACAGGTTAAGCTGCAGAGGCAGTGAGAGGATTCACCAGAGAGAGTGGGGAGCAGAACAGGCCGACTGACAAAGTATACTGCTGAGGGGAACAGGGGGCGGGTCATCAGGGGTCTGCCGCGCCATTTGGGTCACTTCCAGGGCTAAGGATGGAACTCCTGCTGAAGTGGCTTTAGCTTCTCAGAGCTGTGCTTTAACCTGCTGTGCCACCAGGGAGGGCCCTGTGTTTGCATATTTAAGGAATGGGTTGGCAGCTACACACAGGACATGCCACTGGGGAAGAATGGTAGCAGGGAGACCAGAAGTCTCTCTGATCCTCATGAACTAAGCATTTATTAATGAACGTTACCTCTCTTTAGTCCACGCATGTTAACAGTCATTGGGTACAGCGGAAAAACAATGTAAAACTTTTTTCAAAACCAAAGACTGCTGACACATTTGTTGGTGAGTTATGAGTTTATATCCTTTTGAATTTTACACTTTTCATTTGCAACTGCTCCTAATATTACCATTTTAACAAAATACCCACTTAAAAGTATATAAAATATGACTCTCCCTGGTTGTGCAACTGGTTAAAGCACTGCATTATGAAGCTCTCCGAAGCCACTGCAAACGTGACTTCAATTCTCTGCCAGGGAGCTGACCCACATGGTGCAGCAGACCTCTCCTGACTCGCCTGCTGCTCTCCTCAGCAGTGTATTTCAGTAGATCTACCTGTTCTGCTCCCACTCTGTCTCTGGTGAATCCTCTCACCTACCACACCTCTAGCCTGTACCCCAGTTGTGTAAGCATAAATAAATAAATCTTTAAAAATAGATATCATTTTTTAAAAAGTATATAAAATAGTGAATTTCAATAGAAATGGACTTTCTGTATTTTGATATACAAAAGCGTTGAGAAATTTACAAAGAAGAACAAAGAAACATCTTAACCCAGCCCCCCTGTCACGCCCATCTGGACTCATACATCAAAATCCTTCCTGGCTATGGATGGAAATGTTTATGTACCCCAAAATTCATTCAAGTTCTAATTTCCAATGATGATATTTTATGAACCAGACTCTTTAATGAAGCGTTTCTTTCCATTTTGTTGACCATGAAAAAAATACTACAAGATCATCCTTGTATATATCTTGGTGTACTGTATGAAAACATCCTTATGGGAAAGGATTTCTTGAAGTACAATTTTGAACCTAAGTACATGCACATTTAAAGATCTTATCAGTAAATGCAAACTGCCTCCCAGTGGATCCTCTCAGTACGTACTCCCCACAGCAATGTCCATATGTGCTGCTTGTCTCTCACATCCTTCACAACCCTAGAAGCTATGGAACTCATTCTTCTTTATCAACCTGATGAAGTCATTACTTTCTTAGTTTTTACTGCTTTAACTATGACTTACATGAAACATTCAACACATTACATATTTCTATTTCTTTTTCTGTGAATCTCCAACTCCTGACCTTTGCCCACTTTTCTATCTTACTTTTTGTCCTTTATTATTGGTTTTATGTATGTGGTGGCTTGGTGGGAGAGAAGTGTCCTCCTGGACACAGGAAAGCTGGGGGCAGAGGTGTGGTTCAGGCATGGACTGCTTTCTCCTTCCAGATGAAATAAGCTTATGCTGACTTCAGTTCAAAAACCAGGATGGCCCAGTACTATAGACTTTGCCTTCTGAGGAAAAGCAAGACAGCTTGCTTTGCTCTTCAGAAGGATGTTGCTGTGACCATAACACCGCTGACGTTTGGCTGTTGCCTCATCTCTGAAGTGATTTTACTTGCATGGAGAGGACAATGGCCACTGGTAAGAAACCACAGGGTGCATAAAAGCCGTACCATATCAATCCACAAGTGCTCTGAGAAAATAGCTAGTTTCTCTAAGTGTTTACTTTCTTGACAGAATAAATGAGAATTCATAAATATGTGTGCAAGTGTGCTTGTGTTTGGGGAGGAAGATGTAACTCTACCACCACTATGGAAACCTTCTAAAATCCAGCAATTTAAAAACTAGCCAGGCTGAGGGAATTCAAAGCAGCCTTTTGTTTATCCCAGTTATGACAAATACTTTCCTCATTTGATATTTTTACCTTCTGTTGCTTAGTTTTCATTTGTTTTTACTTGTATTTTTGTTTTTACTATATAGAAAATGTATCAATATTTTTTCTATGACAGTTATCAGACCGTGTCAACTTTATACAGGTCTTCACCATTCCAAGTTTATACAAAAAATTCATTTGTATTTTCTTCTGGAACTTCATAGTTTATAAATCTTTCAGTCACCTGACAGTAATGAGTTCTTTCAGTAAAAGGAGTCATTATTCATCCAAGTTTATTTTTAAATAAATATTTATAATCTAATCATTAATCGGTTTAATATCTTTATAACATCACAAATTTTCATATATCTGAACCTATGTGGACTCTATTTTGGTCTTTTAACCTATTCTTTTATCGGAATTGTTTAAATTATAGTAGTTCTGAAATAAATTTCATTAAGAAAATTTACTATAATATCTTTGATTATACAAATGCCAAATATATAAATAACTGTGGCGTCACTGAAGTGATCTTTATGGTGGTTATTTTTAAACCAATTTACAAAACGCTAACTATAATCATATTTTCAATTATTTATATCTAATTGCAAATATCTTAAGAAAATGAATGTCGTAGTTTGCCTCTCAAAAACTGTAATACTCAGAATCACCTCATTAGCCCACTAAACCTACAAATACTCTACAGGACATTTCATTCAGTGGAAAGTGGGCAGCACTTCTCAGACACTCTCAAAATAGTTTTTATACACTGTAAAACTCAAGAAGCACTAGAATACTGTTTTCTAGGATAATGTCTACTAAGTCAAACACCTTTAACAAAGAAAACTTCAAATAATGGCTTGTCTTTTGAATGGTAAACAAAATGCCTCAAGAAAAATTAAAACCACCATCAAATAAATTTAGCAAGGAGAAATCATTTTACTTAGGTTTCTGTACAAAACAAGCCACAAACAATGTATTCGTTTTAAAATAGAAAACGAGAGAAGTGCATCAAGGAAGAGATCCCTTCAGAGAAAAGCACGCTGGGTACACAAACATCTTTAAAAGTATGCACAGTGCAGGCTGTACGACTAAGAGCAAAGTTTACTAGTTAACTCTAAATCTTCTGTCACATAAAAAGAAAAAGAATGCACTGGAAATCTGTCTTTGCACAATACACTTGGGCACCAGGGAAATGAACTATGTAAAGTCAAGAGGGAACACAGCCCATAACCTTTCAAGTCCATGCTTAGTTCATGACCACCCTATTTGTATATGTCAAATTGTCCCTATTAACTTGGATACTTTCGTCTCCACTTATTTCTTGCAGTACAAACTCAGACTCTGATTTTCTCCCCTGTACACTTAAAAAAACACTCTGTTCCTCCAACTCCTGGCCAAACACAAGGGAAGGGAGGAAGGCAATTGACTATGGTATCCACTCCTGAGCCAAGTGTTGTCCCAGTCATAGCAACAGTGGCTAAAACAGAAGCTGGAAAGTAATTCTTCCAACCAGCACCCACACATTAAAGGTACAATACATTAGGAAAGGAGGGCCACTTTTCAAACTCAAGCCCTCTCTCTAATGGCCAGGATGAAAACTATTGTTGAAAGCAGGACATAACACTCAGTTTATAATCTGGGAGCTAGCCTTTCAAAGCAAGGAGTCCATCGCCACTGGAAGAACTTCCAGGAGCTGATTCAAAGAGGAGGTCCACTAGTAAGCAAGTTCTGGTGACCTGTCACACAGGTCATATATATGACACATAAAGAAATGACCGTCAATGACTCCGCCAACTTGCTTTTCTCTACGCCTCGCTATATTCCCCAACCCTATAAATATTGCCCAAGCCCTCAGCATCAAGAAAAATATTTTTGTTGGTAGACTCTGCAATAAGCTTTCTTTTCTCAAAAAGCCAGTGGCATAGTTACTGGCTTCCAGGTACATTAGGTAGCACATTAAACAACACAAAGATACAGAGAAACTAATATCGAATTTTTATTGAATAATCAAAGTATTCTAATTACATGTTTACCAAAATTATATTTCAAAAGGGGAAACGGTATTTCTAGCCAAGTCAAGATATTTTTGGTTTTCATTTTAATTTTGTATGTATTTCATTTTCAAAGTAATAACATGATCATTGAGAAAATGTAGAAAATATAGTTTAAAAAAGAAAATAAAAAGCATTCATATTCTACTACCCAACTATAGCAATAATTAATATGGTTCCATTCTAACAGAATTTTAAAACATCATCTTAGCATTTCAAGAAATTTAAAAGAACAGAGATGCTTCTGTTCAATACTTTAAGCTCTAAACAATAAGATATGAAAAAAGTAATAAAATAGCTTAAGAGCTGAAACTGTACAGATTATGATTGTTTTATTACTTAGAACATTTAAGAGAATCTATGGTATTAAGGTATTAAAATTTAAAAGGAGTATTTACCCAGGTTGTTAATATCAAATCAACTTAAAAAAATAATGTCTTCCTACTCACCAGAAATAATCACATAGAATCAGAAATAATCACATAGAAAACTAAGAAAGATTTCATCCATAGTTATACCTAGGAATATATCTATGCAAAAAAAAAGAACACAGCTGTTCTGAGATACTATTCTTTGAAAGGCCAGTTTGCAAGGTTGGCCCTTGAGAACTCGACTAGTTCCCTACATTGATATTAAACTTTCCCCAAATGGGTGACGCACTGCACCCAAACTGTTTTTACAATGTGGCTTATGCTGAACACTGCCCTACTTTTTACGAGTCTAGGACTTGGTACCTGATAGGCAGAGAATGCTTAAATGACCAGCACCCAATGATAACCTTGTATATAGCAAGATTTTAGTGAGCTTCCCTGAGAGACACCGTATATACGCTGTCATAGCTCACTGCTGAAAGAGTTAAGTGTGTTATGTGTGATTCCACCGGGGAGGACTCTTGTAAGCTTACATCTGGTTTCCTGTTCATTTTGCCTGATGTGCCACTTCCTTTTGTTTTGGATTCTTCTAATAAATCATTAAATTTCAAGGTGGTTTTAGGAACCCCCACTCTGAAACATCTTTCTGGAGATAATTACAAAGTACTGGTCCAAGGAAAGGAAAGAAGGCCTAAGTAAATGGAGGGTTGTATCATGAGAGAATGAGAAGACAGTCTATTCCACACCCCGTCATTCAGATTCAATGCAACCCCAATCAATGTACCCACATGGTTATCTTTCTAATAGTTCTTAATAAGTCAATCCTATAACCAATATGGAAGAGCTAAGGGTTAAGAAGAATAACAGGAGGCACCTACCCAGTCCCAGAAATCACTATAAAGGTTAGTAATCAAGCCACAGGGAAAATATCTCAAAAGAGTTTTTTATAGAATTTTACAACTTGACTTTAAAATTTATCAGAATAAGCCAAAGTCTAAAATTGCCAGAGCATTTCTGAAACAGGTGATCAAAATGACTTACCAATAGTTTTATAAAGCTCTAATATGCAATATAATATTGGTATAAGGACAGACATCCCAATAAAACAGAAAACTCTGAAATATATCTACCATATATTTAAAAAATTGAGGTAGCACAACAGAAAGTGCAGCACTATGAAGCCTTCTACAGCCACTGCAGCAAGAGTTTGATTCCCAGCCAGGGAGGTGACCCACATGGCATGGCAGACCTCTCCTGTCTCGCCTGCTGCTCCCCTCAGCACTATGTTCCAGTCAAAGTGCCTGTTCTGCTCCCAGCTGTCTCTGGTGAGTGCTTTCACCCCCTGAACTTCTGACCTGTACCCCAGTTCTTATATGCATAAATAAACAAATCTTTAAAAAAATTGATTATCTGACATTCTAGATGTTGAAATAAGGGTCAATAAATATGGTGGGACAACTAATAATGGAAACTAGCTTAAATCTTGATCACCTGCCATTCTATATGTCTGATATACTTCATAGTAAAAACTTCGTTTGGCTGTGTACATATATTAAAATCTCTTATTAGGTTGGTAAACTACAAGTCATCATAATTTTATATTCTAGGATCCCAAGGGATTATAAACATACTACTTAAAAAAAATTTGTCTTTTGCTTTGTTTATTGCTAGAGTATGAAAATCACAGGGCAATGTATGTATGAGAACTCATTTTTACATTATAAACTTTTGAAAATACACTTTTACTTCCTTATATACTTCTGAAAATAAATTTTACTTCTATAAAATTGGGGTTTCAATTTTACAAGACTTTTTGAGTAAGATGAAGTCTTACCTCATAGATTCTGGCAATTCCACAAAGTAAAGTTACTTCTCCTGGAAATTTATCTAAGCCTTGTTTGAAAAGATTTAAAGCAGTCACAGGTTGATCCAATGAGATGTAGACCTAAAATCAACACATTTCAACAAAATTACTGTTCTCAAAATGACAGTATTTGTTGTAAAGAATTTATAAACTACTGCTCAGCAATAAGTTATATCCTAATTATAGTAAAAACTTTCTAGAAATGTGTACAATTTCTAATAATTATGCTATAGTTTTATTTCCACATGTTGTGTATGAAACATCCATTCATTCATTCATTCATCAAATGATTGTTGTGGGCTTACTAGTATCCCCAAAAAGAACCAATAACTAGTCAAGCAAGAATCAAGAGAAAAATCATCTTTTTAAGATGATACACTAAAACTAGCACAGCAAATTTATACAGCGTAACTTGCACTTTATTCCTTTGTATCATGCTAATTTTTAATTTCATACCACATTTAGCCAAAAGGGGCACTTGCTTTTATATTTCATCTTCTTTTGAACCTCCTTTACCACACTTTTTAAATTTAAAAAAACCTAAAGATACAATCAGATGTCATAACCACCATGACATCAAGTGCAACTTGCAAAATAGTAGCGGTGGAGACAAGAAGTAACTTCATCCCAATTGAAATTGAGATTGTGGGTTACACTATGGGGCAGTGATTAAGTGCTCCAATCACTGGGTTGGACCTGGGCTGGAATCCTGAAAAACTTAGCCTCTATACAACTCCTTTTCTTTAAGACCACAAAGGAAATGGTAAAACCCACCTAGCAGGGTTGCCATGCAGGTTAAATTAAACTGCATTTGGAATGAACCTGTTACCTTACACAAAATGGGTTCTCAATAGAGGAGAAATGTTGTCTTATTAGTATGGCAGAGCTGAGAAATGCACAAAAGCAATCTCTGTTCTCTACATGTGCCTTGATGAGACACAAGTGTGTTGTAGACAAGAGGTTCTCTCTGGGGCCTGTTACCCTTGGGGATGCAAAATTAGTCTGGGGCATTTTCCTCTCTAATGTTCAATCCTTCAAATGGGTGTTCTTATTTTCACGGCAATCAGCTTCTCCTAAGATGGTTCCTCGCCGTATGTTCTCACTTTTTCCCTTGCTAAAAGAAAAGTAAGTTGAAACCTATTATCTTGCCAAATATTCCTAAAGAAACTGGCAATTCTTCCCATGCAGAATTTAAACATTTATTCTAAGAAGGATTTCACTCATATTAAGAATACTTACTTTTGCCAAATAGAGAAAAGTATCTATCATTTCCTGCTGTTTCAGGGCTGATTTGAACTGTTTTTCTGCTTCACGATACATTCCTAACCTAAGATGAGCCATTTGAAAAATTAGACATTCAACTTAAAAATAAATACTTCTTCATATTCCCAGCATTAATTACTGGGAATATGAAGAAACAAATTTCATATGTAAAACAAGCATGTACCAAGTTGATGACATCACACATACACATGTATTAACATGTATGTTTATATAGTTTATATAATTTAGCAAAAGTTGCCTATTTCCCATATCCACCACATCTAATGCCCAAATGTGCAGGGAGTCTGTCAGAGCCCAGCCACAGTAGGACTAAGAGCTGCCAGTCACCAGGTCAGACCAGTTCACACTCAAAGAGCTCTGAGCAGCTGGACATGGGACAAGTGACCCAAATAAATGCTCAGTCTCCATTTTCACTAGGAGCACTGAAGGATGACATCCTTTGAAAACATCTTCCGCTCTGAGGCAAAAGCCCATTTTAAAAAGCATATTGAAATAATCTTGATGTAAGTAGTAATTGCTACTTGACTGACGGGAGTTATACCATTTTACAATTTAGAAATATTTTCATTTCCTTTTTTTGCACTTGATACTAATTGTACTAGTCCATGAATATGAGACTTGTTCCTAGATTAACTATAACTGTCCTAATGTCAGCACCCACCTCTCCTGCTAGAGGAACACGCTGTCAGCACTAAATCAATCACAAAAGCATACATCAGCCTGTGCTTCACACATCTGCCAGGCTTGCTCATAACTCCACATCCCTCACTTTCTAAGAGGCTACGCAGGCATGTAATGATCATGTCTTTATTTTGTGACCGAAAGTCAGAAAAATACACACTATGTTTATTTTGCTACCTTCATAAAGACCTGAAAGAATAACTTTGACCATCTTTTCTCACCCAGGTCTCAAGCACTGGTGTGGTATACCCAAATAACTGTAGGAACGCTGGGCATGAAAGGGATTAAACACGACACAAACACAAAAACGGGCCTGAAGTTAGATGAGAGGTGAAATGGCAGAACTTCCACCCCTTCAAAAAGCCAGATAACTTTCACAAGGAGTACTTACAAAGGGTTATTAAAGAACTCTAAATTGTCTGGAAAACAGGGTCCTTGTACACATAACTCCCATTGAGCACGCAAGTCTTAAGCTCCAGGCTGAAGTTCAGTCATTGAAGCCCATGAGCACCTAATTAATTATCCAGGACAGGTTGTATAATTTTACCTAATAAGCTGTCTCTTTCCAAGGATTTAAGAGATTATAACAAAAGACACATCTATGAATATAAAAATAGAAACAGATTTTTTTAAAAACAACAGAGATGGAAGTACAAGAAATTTTAAAAGGCTAACGAAAAGGCAACCAGAGCTACTGAGCTAACTAGAAACCAAAGAAAGAAGCATCGGCATATGCTTTGTATTACTAAATCTTCAAGCGATCATTTCCAGTACTATCAGAAAAGGAATTTATCACAAGGGTTCTTGTGCAAGGAACTGGAGCAGGCCGTGCATAAGGAAAGTCTAGGAGTAATGAGAACAGCAACTGAGTTCTTTAACAGGCCAGCAGTCAGAGTCCAGAGAGAACGACCACCAACTGCCAACTTTTTCTTTCCACTTGAATTCAATAAACAGTGTCAAGCAGCAAACTTCATGCTTCATTTCATGATGGTAAGGAAAGGCAAAACTGAAGATTAAAAACCATACCCTGAAGGCACCAGTAAAGATGGAGATAAAACATGTTCACAAATAAATTTAGTTGCATTATGGCTAAGGGAGGAGAGAGAACTCCCTTGAGTGCACAGAAAGAAGAGAAGCAAATAAGATAGTTCCAAGGGGAAAGGGACAGGCAAGATTTTGACAACTAGAAAGGATGGTGTGGGCGTAGGGAGACATTTTAGGTAGAAGCAAACTAGCAGCATAAGCACAAAGAAAACTATGTACAAAGCATATGAGCACGACGTGGAGTTGTCAGGTCTAGCTGAAACAGGGATCATAACAGGGATGAGAGAAGTGAGCGATACAGGCAAATCTGGTCAGGGACAAGACCATGGAGCCACTTGAAACTGAACTCCATTCTTAAGGTAATGGAGATTAACCAAAGAATCTGGTCACAGGAGCTCAAACAGTAGTGTGTAGGAAGGGGGGGCCC